ACATCCTTGTCCTGTTCCTGATTTTAGAGGAAACACTTTCAGTTTTCCCCTCTCACTATGATGTTGCTTCTGTCCCTAGCGTCTCTGGTGTTTTTTTAATATGAAAGATGCTACATTTTGTTGAATGTGTTTTCTGCATCTATTGAGATAATCATGTTTTTATTTTTATTTCTATTTGTGTGGTGAATCACACTTACTGACTTTCATATGTTGAGCCAATCCCCGGGATGAAATCTGCTTGTTCATGGTATACTGTTTTTTTTAAATATGTGCTTGAATGTAGTTTGCTAATATTTTTTAAATATTTTGCTTTAGTTGTAGATGAGCAGGATACTCTTATTCACCTATTTTCTGTGGTGCTGAGGATTGAACCCAGTGCCTCACATGAGTGAGGCAAATGCTCTCCCACTGAGCGCAGCCGCAGCGCTGTTTCCTAGTATGTCATTGAGGATTTTTGCCTCTGTTTATCAGGGAGGGCAGTCTGGAGTTTTCTTTCTTTGATATGTGTCTTTGTCTGGTTTTGGTTCCAGGGTGATATTGGCTTTATGGAATGCATTTGGGAGTGTTCCCTCCCTTTCTATTTCATAGAATAATTTGAGGTTAGTTCTTTAAAGACTGAGTAGAATTCCACTGAGAATCCATCTGGTTTGGGGCTTTTCATTGTTAGAAGGCTTTTAATTACTACGTCAACGGTATTGCTTGGTATTGTTCAGTTTAGGTTTTCTATATCTTCCTGGTTCAATTTGGACAGATAATGTGTGTCTAGAAAATTGTCGATGATTTGTTTAGATTTTCCCATTTATTGGAGTTTGAGCTTTCCTCACGATCCTCTGGATTTCAGAAGTGTCTGTGGTGATATGGCCTCTTTCATCTCTAATTTTGTTGATTTAGGTCTTATTTTTTTAATTTGTTCTAATTAGTTCTACATGACAGTAGAATGTATTTTGACACATTGATCACAAATGGCTCTTCTTTGTCTTTCCTTTGTTCGGTTTGGGTAAAGGTTCATCATCTTGGGCTGGGACACAGCTCAGTTGGCAGAGGGCTGGCCTCACATACACAGGCCCTGGGTTCAATCCCCAGCACCACAAAAAAATTTTTAAAAAGTTTATTAACTTAATATATCTTTTCAAAGAACCAACTCTTCATTGCACTGATCCTTTTTATTGTATTTTATTTTTTAATTTTTTAAAAATATTTATTTTTTAGTTTTCGGCGGACACAGCATCTTTGTTTGTATGTGGTGCCGAGGGTCGAACCCGGGCTGCCCGCATGCCAGGCGAGCGCGCTACCGCTTGAGCCACATCCCCAGCCCCCTTTTTATTCTATTTATTTTATCCCAGTTTCATTAATTTCAACTCTGATCTTAGTTATTTTCTGTCTTCTACAGATTTTAGAATTAGTTGGTTCTTGCTTTTTGGGGACTTTGAGAGTATTTATTTGGGCTCTTTCTTCTTTTTAATATTTTGTAGACGTTGCTGGGCCTTCATTTTGTTCATTCATTTGTATGTGGTGCTGAGAATCAAACCCAGTGCCTCACACCTGCCAGGGAGTGCTCTGCCCCTGAGCCCCGCCCAGCTCCTGGGAGCGTTTCTTTCTGTATGTAGGAACTCAATGCTGTAAATTTTCCTCTTTAACTGCCTTCATGGGGTTTCAGAGATTTTGATACATTGTGTCTCTGTTCTCACTTGTTTCTGAGAATTTTTAAAATTTCTCCTTTGATTTCTTACAGGACCCATTCCTCATTGGAAAGCATATTATTCAATCTCCACATGTTAAAATGGTGTCTGTTTGGGCTGGGGTTGTAGCCCAGAGCACCTGCCTTGCATGTGTGAGGCCCTGGGCTGGATCCTCAGCACCACATAAAAATAAATAAATAAAAACAAAGATATTGTGTCCATCTACAACTAAAAAAAGTTTTTGAAAAATGGTTTCTTGTTTTTTATCTTGTTATTGATTTCTAATTTTATCCTATTATGAGCTGATAGGATGTAAGAAATTATCTCTATTTTTTAATATTTTCTTAGACTTGCTTTGTGCCCTAAAATATGGTTTATTTTAGAGAAAATTCCTTGTTAGTGGGAAGAAAGTAAATTTGGTTGTTGATGGATGATATGTGTCTTTGTCTGGTTTTGGTTCAGCATAGATGCCTGTTAGTTTCACTTGATTAATGATATTTTCATTTCTGAGAGCCTTGGTTAGTTCATGTCTGGATCACCTACCTACTGGTAAGAGCATTGCTGGACTCGCCCAGTGTTGTCCGGTTGTGGTCTGTGTGACTCTTGTGTGCAGATACACTGACAGTCGTGGTGCAGACATCTGCAGTCGTCGTATCCTGCGGTTGGATGATGCCTTGCCCAGTATGGGTGGCCTTTGTTTCTTGGTCTACCTTGTCTGAGATAAGAGTAGTCATCTCTGCTTGCTTTCAGTCTCCATTTGCATGGTACATATCTTTTTCTCTTCTTCACATTTGGCCTATGGATGTTTTTGCCTGAAAGGTGAGTCTCTGTCAACAACACATGGTCGGGTCTTGTTTTTTAATCCTGTGTGCCAATCTATGTCTTTTAGTTTAGACCATTTACATTCTGTGTTACTATAGAGAGATGATTTTTATTTCCTGCCATTTCAACTTATTTCTAATGCTTAATTAAGAGAGGATTCTCCCCTAATTGATATGATTCCAGTGGGACTCATGCATTCACTGGCTCTGGTGTTTATTTTTATTTCATCTGTATGAGATTCTTCATTGAGCTCGTTCTGTAGTGCAGGCTTAGTGGTCATGAATTTCTTTCTAGTTTCTGCTTGTCACGGAAGATTTTTATTTCAACTTGAGTTCTGAAGGGTAGCTTCGATGGATACTGCAGTCTTGTCTGCACCTGTGATTTATCAGGGCTTGGTGCACATGATTCCAAGCACTTCTGGCTTTTACAGTCTGGCTGAGAGAACAACAGCAAGTTTAATTGGCTTATCTGTAAATGTGACCTTCATTTTACTCCTGCAACTTAGAATTCTATCCTCGTTCTGTTTAGGTACCGTCATTATAATGTGTGTTGGAGAGGATCTTTTTTGATCTTATCTATTTGGGTTCTAAATGCCTCCTATATTTGGATTTTCATTGTTATAAGGGTTGGAGATTTTTCTGATATTATTTCATTAAAAAATTTGTGCATCAATTTGTATTTGGGGTAAAAATGGGAGTTCATAACCCACTTGAATCAAATGTATGATATGTCATGAGCTTTGTAATGTTTTGAACAACTAATAAAAAAAAAAAAACCTTAAATAAAAGAAAAGAAGCTCGAGGAAAAAAAAAATTGTGCATTCCTTTGGTTTTATTCAAGTGCCTTCTTCTACACCAATGATTCTTATATTTGGCCTCTTAAGTTATCCCATATTTCTTTGACTATTCTAGTCGTGATTTCCTAACATCTTTTCTTTACTTGTTGACTTAATTATCAAGTTTATATTCTTTGTCTTTGAGGTCTGAGAATCTGAGAATCTGTTTTCTTTTTTTTTTTCTTAAGAAAGAGGAGAGGGAGGGAGGGGGGAGAGAGAGAGAAAGAGAGAGAGAGAGAATTTTTTTTAATATTTATTTTTTTAGTTTTTCGGCGGACACAACATCTTTGTTTGTATGTGGTGCTGGGGATCGAACCCAGGCCGCACGCATGCCAGGAGAGCGCACTACCGCTTGAGCCACATCCCCAGCCCCTGTTTTCTTTCTTTTTTTTTTTTTTTAAGTTATTCTTTTTTAAATTATTTTTTAGTTGTCGATGAACCTTTACTTTTATTTATTTATTTGTGGTGCTGAGAATCGAACCCAGTGCCTCACACCTGCTAGGGAAGTGCTCTACCACTGAGCTATAACCCCAGCCCTATAACCCCAGCCCTGAGAGTCTGTTTTCAGCGTGGTCTAATCTATGGGTGATGCTTTCAACTGAATTTTAAATTTGTTTTATTGAATCTCTCATTTCCAGTATTTCTCTGGTTCTTTTTCAGAATCTCTTTGAAAAAGAAATGTTCTTTCATTTCCTGCATTTTCTCTCTAGTTTCATTTCTTACTCTTCTTTTAGCTTATAGAACATTCTACCAGAACTTCCTCCACGGTGGTGTTTATGGACACAGCAGTTGAAGTGTTGTGGGCTCTCTCGGGTGGCCCATTCCCTTGTTTGTGTGTCTTCCCGTCTGTGGGGACGATTACCTCTTCTTAGGGGAGGGGACACTAGTGACCCCCTTCTTAGGAGCCCAGGCTGTGTGAATGTGACACTCCCACTGAGCATGTGCCTCTGCTGCTGACCCAGACCAACTGCAGTCACTTCAGGGAGGAGCCAGATGCTAGCTAACCTCAGGGGGAGAGGTACTGAGGGTGTTCCCTGGACTTCCTCCAATCCAAGCATAAAACTGGAGCAACGTTTTTGAATAGATCGAGAAATTGATTATTAAAGATTACAAAATACTATTTAACTACATAGGAATTCAAAGGCGGAAAAGAGAAAAAAAAAATACAAACTAAGATGAAAAGAAGAACATTTGGGGGTGATTTGAGACAGGGGCAGGTAATGCAAGAAGGGAAAGAAATTAGGAGAAACAGTGAAACCTGTTCTGGGAAGCAAAGAGAAGGAATGATTCCAGTTACTAGTTTTTATCTTGAGACAGAGTTTTGCTAAATTGCCCGAGCTGGCCTTGAACTTGGGATCCTCCTGCTCAGCCTCCTGAGTTACTGGGATTACAGGTGTGTGCCACTCCACCCAGCTATCCCCAGCCCTTTTTAAAATTTTATTTAATTTGGTTTTTTTCTTTCTGTTTTTGTTTGTTGCTTTGTGATGCTGGGAGTTCAACCCAGGGGTGCTCCACAAGCCCTTTTAGTTCTTTATTTTGAGACAGGGTCTTTCCAAGGTGCCCAGGCTACCCTTGAACTTGTGTTCCTCCTGCTTTGGCCTCATGAGCCTCTGGGTCCCAGTGCAGTCACCGCGCCCCACTTTTCTCTTGTGTGTGTTTGACAGTTCCCAAGGCAGCACAGAGGGGAAATCAGTTCGGCTTTTCCATCCAGTGAAATCCAGCGGCTGCAAGACCAGAACACGAGCTTGCGGAATGCTGTCTCTCAGATGAGGAGGGAAATGGAGGCGCTGAGTGGGGAGACTCTTCCTTCTGCACAGTCGGGAGAGAACGCATGCACACACCTGCCCGAGGCTGAGGCTGCGGGGGACACGGCCCCTCCTCGTGAGTGGAGGTGGGGAGGGTTAGGCTTGCCCACTGGTCGCCTTGGATGGTTCCTGTCCGAGTCTTGTTCAAGTTTACGTGCCCTTCAACAAATCATTCCAAGGCTGGAAGGCTGCTGTTCCCCCAAGAGACGGTCCTGAGCTTTGTGTTTAAGTCTTTTTCTTGGTGAAGGGGAGGGGAATGTACAGGGTGCATGCCTGATGCACTTAGAAGCTGGAACAGGCTGGGCCAGGCAGGACGCTGTGCTGTCCCGAGTAGCTGGCAGTGGGAGCCACCTGGCAGGGCCCTGCTCCCGAGAAGTACCCTGTGGTGGGGCTGAGATGGTGGCCCCTCCCGGGCCGGGCTCATAGTGGGCACCAGAGCAGCTGTGTGACCAGTGCCTGAGGTAGGGACTGTTTCCTGTTGTCACAGAGGCCTGTGGGAAAAGGCCGGTAGAATCTGTCCCCGTCTCTGATCCCTGCTCAGAGGACGTGGAGGCTGGGCGGGTCTCTCCACGTGCACTCTGGGGGAGGAGGGGAGAGAAGGCCCTAGTGGGCAGGAGGGAGCAGAGGACGTTTGCTGGTGTTTTGGGCAGGTTACGTTCTGGCCCTGGCAGCAGAAGTGCAGAACTTGAAGCACAAGCTCAGCGCCCTGGAAGGAGAGCTGGCCGGCTCGCCGGGGCCTCCAGAGACATCCTCGGGGGACGCCAAGCTGCACCCCAGCGCCCTGGAAGGAGAGCTGGCCAGCCTGCTGGGGCCCCCCGAGCTGCACCCCAGTGCCCCCACCTTCACAGAGACTGGTGAGGGTCCCTGGGTGGCTGTGTCACAGACTGTCTGCCCCAATGAAGTGAAAATGACCCCCACGGGAAGTCTTCCAAATGCAGGTGCAACCGTGGGGGTCCAGATCCAGGAGCCTTGCCCCTGCTAGCTGCCGCTGACCCCTTACCCTTCTCAACTTGGCGTTGTGTGGTGCACATGCTCCCGCCCGGCTCCTTTTGCTTCCTGTGTAGTCCACAGAGCCAGCTGTTTCCCAAGGTCTTTGTGCTGACCACAGTGCCTCAGCCCTCCAGGAGAGCTCGCCCACTTGCAGGGCTGCCACCGTGAAGAAACCACAGTTGGCCTTAACAGACCCTGCCACCAGCTGGGGCCCAGAGGGCTGCCCCAGTCCTGGGCAGTGCTTACTGGATGAGGGACTTGGCCGGTTGCTATCTTGGTTCTAGCTGGCCTCCTTGGTGGAAACCCATATCCTCTCCCCAGAAGGGTGCTGTCCCTGGTGCAGGGCAGGACACAGCCAACTGGTAGGAGCGGAAGAGGGCAGGTGGCTCCCGCGGTCCTGGGGCTCCCTCAGTCCTGGGGCTCCCGCGGTCCTGGGGCTTCCCCTGGTCCTGGGGCTCCCGCGGTCCTGGGGCTCCCTCAGTCCTGGGGCTCCCCCGGTCCTGGGGCTCCCCCGGTCCTGGGGCTCCCCCTGGTCCTGGGGCTCCCTGGTCCTGGGGCTCCCTGGTCCTGGGGCTCTGGGAGCTGGCTTCCCTTGAGCCTCTTGTTCTTGCTCATTGGTGTTTCTGGGGTGCGGGCTCCTCTGACACCTGAGCTAGGGGTAGAGGGAGAAGAAAGGACAGGGACTCCCGGGAGTCCTCCTGGGTGCCCACAGCCCCTTCCCAGGGACAGCCCTCAGTAGGGGCTGCTCGTGTCCTGGCCCCGCTGTTCGTCATGCCCAGTGGTGGGCCGGCGGCCTCGCTCACCTCCTCACACAGCCTGCCGCCTGGATGGCTCTAGAGAGGCCTGGTGCTCAGGGTCCCTCCTTCCGAGTGTGGCTAGCTGGGTCTGCCCATTGGTTGTCCGGGGCGTTCTGCCACTGCGGGCAGCCCCTGTCCTTTCTTTATCATTTTTTTTTTTGCCTCAAACTTGTGTCCTCCTGCCTTGGCCTGTGCCACCACTCCTACGTCATTTCTTCTTGGACCATGTGTCACAGGGGCATCTTTTTGCTTAATTCCCAAATAAACATTCCTCCATCTAGGAGAAGCAGCGGCCGCTGGCCTCTCAGCTGCTGCGTGGTGAGGTGTGTCTGTCCTGCAGAGGCTCCTGCTCTTTACGTGAGGACTCTTCTGCTCCTTGCAGGGACTCACACCCCTCACTTCAGGGAAGGGCCTCCTCTCCCCGAGTCCACTCAGCAGCCTCCCTGGCTCCCCCTGGTCCTGGGGCTCGTGAGAGATGGTGTTCTTGATTTTCCAGATCTGAGCCTCACAGAAGTTGCTATTCTCTGCAGGAGAATCTGTCACAGATGGTCACGCATCCACTGGATTGGCACTGGCACTCCGGAAGCTCAGAGACAGAGTGCATCTCTTGAACTTGCTGGTGACACGTCTCAGAAAGAAGGTGAGATGGTCCTTTGATAGGCACGGCAGTGCAGCTCTTCCTCCGAGAGAGCCATTCAGGGGTGCAGGCCTGCTGACCCTGGAAGTCCACTTGCCCTTTCTGTGCCTGTTTGCTTCTCAGCAAAGGGCTGTGGTGAGCAGCAGTGGCTTATCTCGTGTGTGGCTGTGGAAGGTGCCCAGGTGCGGTGGCACAGGCCTGTGATCCCAGCAACTGGGGAGGCTGAGGCAGGAGGATCGCAGTTCTAGGCCAGCCTCAGCCACCTAGCGAGACCCTATCTCAAAATAAAAAATGAAAAGGTCTGAGGACATAGCTCAGTGGCACAGCAGCCCTGGACTCCATACCAGTGCCAAAAAGAAAAGGAAGAACCGGGAGAGGGGAGAAGAGGTCTCGGCAGTGCGGCCAGAGGGACGCGCGGGCCCTGTGTGGGGTGGCCCTGGGTGAGGGCACTGTGGTCCTGCTTTGCACACTCACCACAGGGTCCTCAAGGCCGCCTGCCCGAGGCACAGGCCAGCGCCTCCTTCCTCCCCCACTGCGTCCACTCGTGGTGTGGTGCGTCACCTCCTGTCCACCTCTTCTCAGCAGAGGCCTGAGTAGTGCTGCCATGTGGGTCGCGTGTGGGTTTCTCTGGGGACGAGCGTTTGGGGCTGGGGTATGCCTGAGTGGAGCTGTGGGGTCCGGGGCAGCTCCGTGCTCAGCACTTGCAGGACCCCCACCCTTGCCCCCACGCAGTCCAGCCCGGCAGTGCGGCTGTTTTCTGTCTTTTCACTCCCGTCACCTGGTGGGTGTGAGTGGCGTCTAGTGAGGTGGTCACTCACATTTTCCTGGTGATGGTGATGCTGACCACCTCTTCATGGGGTCCCTGGCCATTTGTACACCTTCAGTGGAGAAACGTCTGTTTAGATCCGTGGCTGTTATTAGCTGGGTTATTCATCTTCACTGTCGAGAGGTCAGAGTCCCCCACAGATACACGATCTGCTGCATCTCCCCCATTCTGTCTTTTCACCTTTCGTGGTGTCCAAAGCAGAAACGGTTTAGTTTTGATCAGGTCCCGGAGGTCCCGCCAGCCTGTGTCACCTGCAGCTCTTGCTGTGGCCTGTGACTTCATTTGAACCTTCCGCCTACCTCTGCTGCTTTGACTGACTGGTGGGGGAGGCCCACTGCTCTCAGCTGCTCGCAGTGTTGTAGAGGTGTTTGTTTCTCCCTGGGACTGGGATTGGGAGGAGGTCCCAATGCATCGCCACACAGACTCTCCCCAGCAGCACTGGGGCCAGCCCAGGGCAGGTGCGCTGCTGATCATGTCCGCCTGCAGAGAAACTCCTCGCTCCTCTCTGCTCCCCTGCTGCCTTTTTAAAAACGTTTTTTCGTTGGCTCTTTTTAGTTGTCCGTGAGAGCAGAGTGTATTTTGACGTATCTCACACACGTGGACTATGGCTTCCCAGTCTGTGGTTGTGTGGAGTCGCAGGGAGCCATGTCCAGTTCACCCCACTGTCTTCCCATTCCCCTCCCCTGCCTTCTCTTCCTTCCCCCTTGTCTAGTCCAGTGAACTTGTGTTCTTCCCACCCACTTACGGTGGGTCACATCCACACAGCAGGAGAGCACCCGGCCTTTGGTTTTTGGGGATGGGCTTATTTCACTTACATGACGGTCCCCACTTTCCCCAGGTGCCTCTGAGGGCCCTTCTTCCTGTCCTTGTGCAGCCCCGGCACCCCCGGCCTTGTCCCTCACATTGTGAAATGGCCTTCTAGGTGCAGCGGAAGCCCCTGGAGCCGGACACCCTCCACCTCGAGCTTCCCCGGGAGGTGGACCAGGTGCATGTGGAGGTGCTGGAGCTTCAGAAGCAGGTGGCTGAGCTGGAGAAGCATCTTGGGACAGCCCAGCGGGAAGGAGAGCAGCCTCTAGGCAGGAAGCAGCTCAGGAGAGAGGTGGGTCCCTTCCGGCCTCCCACAAGCTGCCCCGCGCTCCTCCTGCACTGCTCCAAGGGCCCGGCCCTGCGGGTGCTCGGCACACCTTGCGGCTCTGCCGTGCGGCTGCCTCTGTCCTTCGCCTTCTCCTCCTCCGCCTCCCTCTGTGAACTTGCTCCTGCCTCTGGTCCTCTCTGACTAGCTGCAGTGCCACCGCGGCACAGCCCACACCCCCTCCCACAGAGAGCTGCCCGCTTCCTCTGACAGGCCTGGGCTGTCTGCTGAGAGGCGTGCGTTGTGTGGACTGGCTCGGCCCTGCCCATGGGAGGAGGCCTCTGAGGCACTCACCACAGCATCCAGAGCCTTGGTGGCACTCAGGTCTTTGCACCAAGTGCCTGCCAAGCCTGTGACGGGTCAGCCTCACAGAGGACCTCGGGTCCTGACTCTGGCTTAGCAGTGACAGGCAGGCCCTTTTTTCTTACCTAAAGCTCTGAGGGACTAGTGGGGACAGTCAGACAGTCCAGCCTCCTCAGGTGTCCTCAGGCCCTGCCAGTAACCTGCAGTGCTGCCCCACAGTGACCTGCCATGACTTGTGACCTTCAGTGGCCAGGCACGATGACACACACCTGTAATCCCAGCTACTTGGAAGGCTGGGCAGGAGGATTGTGAGTTTGGGGTAACCCTGGACAATTTAGCAAGACCCTGTCTCAAAATTAAAAAAAAAAAAATTTAAAGGCTGGGGATATTGCTCAGTTGTAGATATCCCTGCGTTCAGTCCCCAGTACTGCCCCCCCAAAAATCTGGTCAGTTATCTGCTGCGACTGTTGTGGTGACTTGTGGTCATCTTTAGTGACCTGGATGGCCTGTGGTTATCAAAGGTGACCTGTCAATCAACAGAAGGTTTTAGGGACATGAAGTAGTGTCTGGAAGGTACTCAGAGTCTTCTGGTAGAAGCAGAGGAGGTGAAGACAGTGGAGGTGTCCCCTTAGCACCAGGGACCCGAGAGGAAGAGCAGCCCCAGGGCCTCTGGCAGGGGCTGCCTAGGAATGGCCCGGAGAAGCCCAGCAGGGCTGAGCAGCAGAGCACCCAGTGCCCAGCACCCAGAGCCCAGCCCTGCCTGGCATCCCTGCCTCCACAGTGCAGCAACACCGGGTTGACTCCCAGCCGCCGGGCACTTCGGGCCTTTGCCCCAGCCTGCCACAGCCCCTCCCAGGACAGCGCCTGCAGCCAGGCCTTAGCAGGCTTTATACCTGCTCCTCCTTCCCGTTTGCCCAGCGCAGAGGGGCAGAAAGCACATGCAGAAGCTGAACTGAGAGCCAAGGTACTAATCCATGGTAGCAGCGGGCTGGAAGGCCCTGCCCCGCTCTTCCAGGGCAGGTGGCCTCAGAGTCGTGTACATAGCCGTGCAGGCAGACCCTGTGGGACAGCGGAAGGCTTAGGAAGCACGGTGACCAGCACCCCCACAGATGCTGCTCGCTGCCCGCAGCACACCTGGGTGCCAGGAGAGGGGAGGCAGGGAGGCCGTTCCTGGGCGCCACCCAGGGCTGGAGTCACCTCCAACAGGCAGAGGAGCCGTGGGAGGGGCCCTGCTCCCAGGACCAAGGCTGCAGGGACAGTGCCCCCCGGCACCCAGCACAGACTGAGGCAGGGGGCCACGGCACCCTCCACAGGGGCTTCCTGCCACGTCTGGCCCCATAATGACAGGACAGACTACAGTTCACTGAACCAGCAGGCAGTCACCGGGCCACACGGGGCAGGCGAACAGGTGCGTCACGAGAGAGGAGCTGGCACCTCAAATCAGAACGTCGCCAGCAAACGTGAAGGACCACGCAGCCGGGTGAACCAGAGGGAGGCCAAGCCCACTGGGAATCCAGTCACCGCGTCTGGAGGCCAGGGACAGGACGCGTCTCCCGTGGAGAGGCCTCAGGGCCTCCCCAGGGTCAGCACACAACACCTCCCACCTCAGGCAGGAGGCCCTGGGCTCACAGCGGAGCCTAGGCGCAAGGTGTCCTGGGCACCCAGGGAGGGATGGCCTGCACTCCAGGTGTCAGTGTCACCAGGGGCCAGCCCTCCAACGCTGCGAGTGTTCTGGGTCCCACAGGAGAATCAAGCTGGGAAGGGCCTGATGGGAACACCGGGTGGAGTCACGCGTCCCTGTCCCTGTCAGAGAGCAGGGGCCGCGTGAGGTGGTGGGAGGGCTCCGTGTGCTCTCAGAGTGCTGGGGGGGGCTCACGTGGAGGGTTAGGGTTAGGGTTAGGGTTAGGGTTAGGGTTAGGGTTAGGGCAGCACACAGCCGCCACCTGCCCCCAGGCGGGGAGCTGTCCTTGCAGCTCCTCTCTCCAAGGCAGGTTCCCGCCAGCCGCGGCACGAGGGGTCTCAAGCTGGCCACACTTGTCCCCCCTAGGACTCAAGTCGGCTTGCTTCCTGCCACAGGCTGTCCCGCCCTGTTCGGGTGTCCAGGGCAGCTCCAGGGTCTGTCCCTGGGTCCACTGGGGAGCAGTGTTGGCCACCTGGAGGCTCTGGTAAGCAGCCGGCTTGAAGGCCCTGCCACAGCTGGCCCCTGGGGGAAGGGCCTGCTGGTCTGCCTGCTGGTCTGCCTGCTGGTGCTTCCTGGGGCCTGGAGCCCGCACTCGGCAGCCTCCCCAGGACTGCTTGGTCAGTGTCTGGTGGAGGTCATTGAGTCGTCTCAGTGGGGCAGACCCTTCCATTTCCTCCCAAGATGCTGACGCCAGTACCCAGGCAGGGCAGTATCCCCACCCTGGGGTGAGTACAGGGGTGGGACTGCCACTGCACCTGTTAAAAAAAAGTCCCCCTGAATACGTCTCAGGTTGTGTGATCTTTATTTTGGGGAAAGACTTCACAGAGTCATCAAAATAATTTTTTTCTTTTTCCCCTCAGCAGGGATTGAACCCAGGATTGCTTAAACACTGAACTACACCCCTTGTTTGTTTGTTTGTGTGTTTAGAGACAGGGTCTTGCTAAGTTGCTTAGGGCCTCACTTGATTGCTGGGACTGATTTTGGATTCGCAGTCCTCCTGCCGCAGCCTCCCAAGCTGTCAGGATCATGGATGTGTGCCACCAAACCTGGTCAAAATAAACATAGCAGATAGAGTTTTACCAGCAACTGACCCAGGGAGGTCCACTCTACATCTCCTAGGTCAGTGTTGAGCCTGGAACAGGGACAAGGCTGCGGCCATTCCTCTCTGCTGTGCACTTATGACAGTTGAAGGGCCAGGGCACCACCAGGCTGCTGGGTCGCGTGGACGCCATCTCTGGGTCAGGGGCCTGCATCTGGAGAGCAAATTTTCCCTCAGACTCTAGATGTCTGAAGCCAGGTGCAGTGGGGCCCCCCCGTATTCCCAGAACTCTGGAGGCCGAGGCAGGAAGATCTCAAGTTCAAGGTTAGCCTGGCAACTTAATGAGACCCTGTCCCAAAAATAAAAATGACGACTGGGGTTGTGGCTCAGCAGTAGAGCGCTCACCTAGCACATGTGAGGCGCTGAGTTTGATCCTCAGTGCCACATTAAAATAAAATAAAGGTATTGTGTTCAGCCACAACTAAAACAAAATATTTAAAAAATCAGTAAATTAAAATGAAAGGACTGGGAGTGTGGCTCCGCAGCAGAGCGCTCGCCAGCGCGTGCAGGCCCGGGCTCGTCCCAGCCCTGAGAACAGGCCCGCCAGCCTCTAGAGTCTGCCTCCTGCATGAAGGCGGCTGCAGAGCAGAGGGTCCCACAGAGCCAGCCTTGAAACAGGAGGGGTCCCCGCATCCTTGGCAGGCCCCACCTGCAGGGAGGTCAGAGGCACCAGTCACACACACTGGAGAGAATGCCAGGGGTCTGGGGTACTCCTGCCTGCCGCACCCCTCCTGGGTGCTGCCCTCACCTGGCCTGGCCTCAGACCTCGGAGCCACAGGACTTTCCTTGTTCAAGAGAAAGGCAGACATGGCTGTTCGCTGTGTCATTCCATGACGTCCCTCGTGGCCTGCAGCATATGCTGGAGGTGCTGGTACACAGTGCCCCACGGCTCCCGGGGCACCTGTGGGACAGCAGTACCTGGAGGGCTTGGGTACCTTCCAGTCCTGGGAAGCTGGCCAGGACAGGACACTCAGGTCTGTTCCAGGGACTCGGGGCTCCGGCGGCCAAAACGGGAGCAACCTGGCTTCTCTCACAAGCGCCAGGGCCCGGGGCGTCATGGTTTCTCCTGTGCCCTGGTCTTACCCTAAACGCCCCCTTGTGCTGCACCTGTACTTGCACATGGCCATGTGTGGTGTGGGCCCCATGTCCAGGCCGGGCAGTGAGCCACGTGGTGCCTCCTCCTGCTTGGGCCCCTTGGCTTTCTCCTCCTGGCGTCTTTAGCACAGCTGGGGACCCCAGCTGGTCTGTGGTGTCCAGAGAGGGACCTGGGCTTCGGCTTCGCAGGGGTGGAGAAGGGTGAGCCCAGGGGGAGGAGAAGCAGCTAGTGCAGGCCCAGGGCGGCGGCTGGGGCGGGACAGGAGGGTGAGAAGCAGCCTGGTCCTGCAGCCCTCAGCCAGAGGCTCACTCTGGCCACTCCCCCCGAACCAAGGGAGAAAGGTGCTGAAAAGCAGGAGAGGCGCTCTGGTGGGTGTGGCCACCTGCAAGTCCAGGGACCACCTTCCACCCTGTTTCCAGGTGCTGACCCTAGCTACCCGGCAGCTGGCCAGGCCCGCACATTGTCAGGCCGTCCTGGTCAGCTGTGGTCTGGTGCCATTGCCTCAGGGTCGGTCAGGTGGGGCCTTGTCCATCAGAAACCTGCTGTGGTCTGGGGCAGTCCAACTCACACAGGGTGTTTGTTTCCCTGGAACCTGAGGTGACTCAGCAAAGGAGACAGATCAGTGGGAGGCTTTTAGTTGCCCACCGGACATTCGCAGGCCGAGGGGGGAGTCTGCAGTCCTGGTTACAGATGGAGACGCAGCGCCCACACCGGGTGCAGTCCTCTTGGGTCTGGGGGCTTGCCCTGGGGGAGCCACTGTGCCGGTTGGGTGTATGAATTCTCATTGTCCCCTCTCCAGGACACAAGGGCCAACGCCCTGCAGGGCTGTGGGGGAGGAACTCTCAGAGACTCTGAGTTGGGGGTTGCCAAGGCCTGTGGCCAGCAGAAAAAGGACTAGAGACCTGGGCAGGCCGCCGCCTGGAGAGGAGGCATCACAGGCCAGGCTGAGCGCAGGGAGCGGCCACCAGCCAGGCAGGCAGCAGTGCCCAGTCTGGGAGGGCCATCTGCACCTGGCCCCTCGTCCTCCACCATGCAGGGCCCTGTGGTCTGGGGTCTTACAGGGTGTCTGCGTGTGGGTTTTATTTACAGGGCCTTGCAGATGAGAGGCCCGTGGGGACGAAGGACCAGCCGGGGGCACAGCCGCCACAGGCCTTATCCGTGCCCCACCTGCAGAGGAAGCTGAAGGCAGCAGCTAAGAAGGTCCTGCGCCTCCGCCTGGAGAAGGAGCAGCTCACGGAGATGGGGAACCGGCTCCGGGCACAGCAGGGACACCCCAAAGGTGAGTCCCTGGGAGCGGGACTGGCCAGGGCGCGGACTGCCAGGACCACTCCCTGCACACCTGTCGGGAGCCTGGGGTCGGCAGGGGGCCTGGCCTGGGCCTCGCGGGGAGCGAGAGGACCACAGAGTGGAGCGGTTAGACGCCTCTGGCCCGGCAGGACCCCGCCTCTCAGGATGGCCCAGCAGCAGATCCCCGACGGAGGTGAAGGCCAGGGAGGCTGGGACTACAGGACTCTGACACGGATTTGTGGCACAAGGCCGGCTGCCGCAGAGGGCCAGAGGGCCGGGAGAAGCAGGGTCCCAGTCCAGGGTCTCCCGGCCTGAGTGGGAGTCTCGCCCTGTGCGGGCTCACCACTGTCCTCAAGGGCTGCAGAGAGGGGTGCAGCGCAGTGCCCGCTGCAGCCTCCTCACTCACCTGCCCACTGCCCTCGTGCGCATTTCAGCAAGATGACAATTGTCAGGCTTTAAGCATCTGTGGTGGCCCCAAAGGCGAGCTCTGGAGCGTCCACCATCTGGCCATGCCTTCTATCCATTGCCTGCACACTACCAGCAGCTGGGGCCGGGACTGGGTTGGCATGAACCTGCTGCAGACATGAAACTCCAGTCTGTGTGCCCTTAACAGCTGGGAGCAGTGGGGCATGGTGCCTTGCAATTCAGGAGGCCAAGGCAGGAGGATCCCGAGTTCTCAGCCAGCCTCAACAACTCAGCGATGCCCAGCCTTAGAATAATATAAAGGGCTGGGGACGTGCCTCAGTGGTGAAGTGCCCCGGGTTCAATCCCCAATACAAATCGCCCCCCCAAAACCTGGGAGCCGCAAGCACGGTAAAGGGTCTAGCAGGAGTAGCACTTCGCCTGGCCCAGTTGGAGAGCTCTTCAGATGGCGCCATCGGGCTGGGGCGCAGCCGAGTGGCAGAGAACTTGCCTAGTGTCCCTGAGGCCCTGGGTTCAGTCTCCAGCACCACAATGGGAGGAAGAGAAGAAGGAAGGTAGGAAGACGGGTCGCCATCTAAGGGAAGGGGTCAGGGTGCTGTGCCTCATCCTCCAGCCTCTGCCTGGGGCTGGCTGCAGGGTGACAGTTGTGGTTTTAGCATGTCCTTCTGTGGCTTCTGAAGAAACCTGGCAGAGGGGGAAGGAGAAGTAGCCCCGGGCGCAGGGCCGCAGAGCTCCAGGGAGCCTTGGCTCCTTGAGGAAGTCTGAGTGGAGCAGAGGGGCGTTCACACTTCCACACCCAGAGCACGCTTGGGAGGTGAGACACCAGACCGGAGGCCAGGCAGGCGTCTCAGCTGTAATCAGCCCCGTTGTTCTGAGACCAGGTTAGCCTTCCCCTTTGGGGTGTTTGAAAGTCATTATCGCAGTGGCTTTGTCCTGAGAACCCAGCCCCTGAAAGAGGAGCAGTACACAGACCTTAGCGGCAGGGGTTGGGAGGTGTTGGTGTGTGCACTGGTGGACACTGACCATTGTCCACCCTCACTGCCCCCTTGGGGCACCTAGGAGTGCAGGGTGTAGGCTGGGGACAGGGTGGGCAGGAGGCTCTCCCCCGACACCAACGGCTTCCCCTCAGGGGCACTTTCTGCAGTTCACACAGGACTGGCTTCTCTTTTGCCCGCGGGGATGGAACCCAGGCCTCGAGCAGGCCCGAGGAGCACTTGACCCTCGCTGCGTCCCAGCCCCTTTTCATTTTATCTTGAGAGAGGATTCTGTAAGCTTCCCGGCCTGGCCTCAGACTTGCCTCCTGAGGGCTGGGCTGGCAGGGTGGACACACCCTGGCTCCTCCTGTCTGTCACCGCTGCAAGCAGTGGGCTCAGCAGTCAGAGCCCCTCGCCTCTTTCTCAATTCCATTCTGCGCTGTCCTCTTCAAACTGAGACGGCCCTCCCCCTGTCAGGTGTGATGCCCCTCGCCCTGGCCTCGGCGCCAGCCCCTGCCAGCTTGGCCACATTGTCTTGGTTGATAGCCATGCCCCCTTCTCCCTCTGACCATCCCTTCCAGTGAACCTGTCTTCCTGCTCTCGTGGCTTCCTACAGCCCGCTGAGCCTGGCAGCCTGTGTTTGAGCAAGTACCTGTTCTGCTCTCCGTCCGCCCATCCACCTGCCCACACCCCATGGTGCAGTCCCTGCGTGGAGCCAGAGTCTGCATGAAAGGCTGAGGGGAGCCATGGTCTGCCCCCGCTGCAGAGCCCAGGGCAGTGCGCTCCTCTGCGCCTCCTCCGCGGGCTGCTGGCCTCTGCCTCTGGACCGTGCCCGCGTGTGGCTTGTTTGTGTTCTTCTGTGGTGGTTCGGTTTGGCCGTTCTCACTCCACTGGAAGACCACCCCCACCCTCAGGACTTGGAGAACGGCGGCAGGCAGCGCCCACAGCCTGTGCTCCTCCCCTCCCTTCTGGGCTGTGGCTCCCTCCGTCACCTGTGGGCCTCTCCCTGCGTTTCTCTTCTCATGTTTAATGAGCCGGAATTCACTTCAGCAGGTGCTGTGAGGGCACTCGGCTCAAACTGGGCCCCGCCCCGGGCTGGGAGCGCATTCACTGGTTTCTCTCTGCCGCGGGAGAAGCTCATTTGAGAACGGCCACTCGTGGGAAAGCCAGTGTCCGCAGACCAGGGGCCATTTCGTCTGAGTGTCTCTAAGGAAGAGGCATCAGAGATGAAGATCCCAGACTGGGAACACTCCCACACCTGACCTAAAAGGAGTCCATGACTGTCGGGCGGCTGGAAGCCCAGCCGAGGGCTGGGAGGTGCCCGGGAGTCCCTGTGGCTGAGGAGGAGTGCTCCGCCCTGCTTGAGCCCAGGAGTGCCAGTTCCCTTGCTTCTCAGATCAGAAAGCTGAGCCTGGCCTGTAGCACAGGTCAGCACTCACCCAGCACACGAGGCCTGGCCCATCCCCAGCACCACCGGGAGAAGGGGTCCCAACTGGAGAGGCCTTTCCAGAGGGCCGTTTAGGACTCCGACCCCCGTCTGGTGCTCCTGGAACACTGCTTAGAGACCTTGAGTCTGCGGTGGCACAGAGCACCTGCCTGGCGCGGGCCAGGCCCGAGCTCCCTCCCAGTGCTGCTGCCTGGGGAGGAGGGAGGGGCTGTGTGCTCACAGGGACCCCTGCCCCAGGTGTCCTGCCGGCCCTGCAAGGCCCCTTCGCACCAGGCACCGCCGGCTGTGAGCTGAGGCTTTGGCTGGGCCTGTGGGTGTCACGGCAGCTCCTCCTCCTCACTGCTGCCTCCAGGCAGCATGTCTCTGCGCAGGCAGGCCTGTGTGTCAGGGTCCATGGGCACACAGGAGCCACGGGAGGGCTGGGCAGGAGTGGCCAGTTCTTGGGTTTGGAGGGAGACAGTGGGCAGAGAACAGAGGATGTTTGACTCTGCTCATCCCACGCCCCTTGCCCCCCAGCCCAGCGCCTGGTCCTGGCAGCAGGGCTGGGCGAGGCTGGTCTCTGCATCTCCACTGGTTCCTACGCCGTAGGGCCACAGTCATTAAGTGGAATGGAGTGACCAGCTGTGACAAATTCCTGGTCATTGTTCACAGCTTTCAGAATGAGACCTGTCCTGCCCACAGCCGAGCACGCCTGCTGTCGGCAGCTGTCCGCAGGCACCCCAGCCACCTCCCCGGTGGCCCCCACGTGTGACCTGCAGCCCCTGCCTTGGAGCGGCCCCGCCAGTCTGCCCACAGGAGGGGGCTGACTGCCTCCCACTGGCTGCAGTGCGCCTTCAACCCGAGGGCCTCGCCTGCTCTGTGGAGCTCACGCCTGCCCAGTGCACCCCGTCAGGCCAAAAAGACTTTGATTTTCTCATCAAAAAAAGGATGATTTCTCATTGTAAAGATTTAAAACAGTGCTGGGTATGATGGTACACGCTCGGGAGGCTGAAGCAGCAGGATCACAAGTTCAAGCCCAGCCTGGGCAATTCAGCATGACCCTGTCTCAAAGTAAAGGGGCTGGGGTCATGGCTCAGTGGGAGAGCGCTTGCCTAGCGTACGTAGGCACCGGGTTCAGGTCTCAGCACCACATACAAAAATAAATACAAATAAAAAAGGCTGGGATATGGCTTTGTGGTAGAGCACCCCTGGGTTTAATCCCCAGTGCCAAAAAAACATTAATTTTTTTAAACAGTGCTGAAAAGTACACAGAAAAACAAAAATTGCTAATTAGAGTTAGTTCACACTTTTGTGAAAAGGCTCAGCACTTCTGTCCTTTGACTGTGATCACACTCATGCACGTGCCCTGGCCCATGCACCCAGGTGTGTGTGCGTGCCTGCTCACACACCTCCACGGCCATGTGCACAGCCTCCATCTCGGGTCCAGCCACGAATCCGTGAGCTCTTCTCCCCTGGCCCACAGGTGCCGTCTCCTGCAGGTGTTTAGAGATGCTTATGGCAGTGAATAAAAATGCCTCTGATCACAGCCTCACAATAACTAAGTAGCATAGAAAGTGTCATTTTTGCCCAATCAAGATAGGTAAAAAGCCTGGGCACAGTGTGCGCATACCTGTGAACCCCGGCAAAGCTGAAGAGGAGGATCTCAAGTTCAAGGCCAGGCTCAGCAACTTAATTCAGTGGTAGAGCACCCCTGAGTTCAGTCCCCAGTCCTGTAAAAGTTTTTTAAACAATCCCTCTGCTTTAGTTTCCAATATGATAAATGGCTGTAATTATAATTCTCCCCCCGCAATGAAAATAAGAACAAGAACTTCTTGGAGTCCTGAATTGATTCCTTGCTCTAGAAATGTTATTTCAATAGTGATCATGCAGTATGTCAGCTCAAAGAGAACTCCTGGAGATACCAGTTCATGGAAAGATGTCCTTGTTGTGCCAGGATCCAGGCAGGTGGGATGCCAAGCACTCACCACAGCTGTCGTTTTTAAGCATATAATGCACACTTTTGCTGCTGCTGCTTCTTTTTTTTTTTTTTGACAGAGTTGTGCAGTGTCGCCCAAACTGGCCCCGAACTGGGGGCTCCACGGTCCTCCTGCCTCAGCCACCCACGCGGCTGGCCCACAGGTGCACGGTGCCACTCTGCTCTCCCTGAGTGCTGCAGAGCAGGCCTGCCTTGGGTGCTCTTAACAGGCCCAGTCAGCTCTGCTGCCCGGAGGGAGCCCTGTGGTGCAGGGAGCCCACCGGGGGCTGTGTGTGACAGTCACACTGGCCCCTGCCCAGGTTCTCTGGTGTAGAAGTGACTTGGCTTTGAAGAGGAACATGCTGTCCTTGAGTGTTTGTGTTCAGCAGGAAAGCCGTCCAGGAGTGACTGAAGCACAGAGCACAGACCCTTTCCTGGTCTCGTTTCCAGGGAGACTGCCCTGTCCTCCCCGGCCTCCCACCCCCCAGGCCCAGGACCAGGGCAAGGCGCGGGAGGCGCTTTGGGACCACAGCCCACCTCTGGGACAGGTGAAGACCCACGCCACCTTTCAGGTAACTCTTCCAGTCCTGCTGCCTGCTGGAGGACTAAGTGGGACATGAGAAGCCTCTGTTCCCAGCAGGCACACACAGCTGCCAAAGGCACCTCGATATAAGTTAAAAAATATGTATGTCTTTAGAGCTGGGAAATGTTCTTAGTTTTTAGCGGCCTTCAATGTCTCTAACATTTATTGGCCTTTATATTTCTTCTGAGTTATTTATGCATGTTTGAATTTTTCTACTGGTGTGTTTATTCTTGTTGGTTTGTAAGACTTCTTTATATATTAAGGCAATTGTTGCTTGTCTGTTACAACTCTTTCCAAATTTGTCATTTGTTTTTTTTGTTGTTGTTGTTGTTTTGTTTTTTTTGTGTGTGTATAAGGAATTTTATCTTATTTTTATTTTTTTTAAAGACAGAGAGAGAGAGAGAATTTTAATATTTATTATTTTTTAGTTTTCGGCAGACACAACATCTTTGTTTATATGTGGTGCTGAGGATCGAACCCGGGCCGCACGCATGCCAGGCGAGCGCGCTACCGCTTGAGCCACATCCCCAGCCCATTGTCATTTGTTTTTTAATTTCCTTTTTTTAAAAAAAAAAATCCTCAGATAAACCAGACACTGTGGGGCATACCTGTAATTCCTCTGGAGTCTTGGGCAGGAAAATCAAAAGTTCAAGACCAGCCTGGGCCATTTAGCAAGGCCCTGTCTCCAAACAAAAAGTAAAAAAGACTGGGGGTGTGGCTCAGTGGTAAAGCACCCTGGGTTCAAGCCCCAGTTTAGAAAAAACAAAAAATCCTTAAATAACTTGAAAACGTTTTTTCAATCTAATGAACTCACAGTCTAATGGTTTATTTAACTGTTTTTCAACTTGGAAGGTTTGTTTCTATTCGAGTGAAGGCAGATAGTCACCATTTTTCCCGGGCGTTTTATTTTGTTAACTATCATAGTACCCTGTAAATAATTACCCTCCTTTTTTTCCCCTTTTTGCAGTACCATGAACTACACCCAGGGGGGGGCTCTACTGCTGATCTGCACCCCCAATCCTAGTTATGTTTTATTTTGAGATAGGGTCTTGCTAAGTTGCCCAGGATGGACTTGAGCTTGCGACCCTCTTGCCTCAGCTCCCGAGTCACTGGGGTCACAGGTGTGTGCCACTGCACCTGACTCATGTCCATCTTCCTAGGACATGGCCAAATGACAGTCTGGAGCTACTGGGCCGGCTTCCACCCCCAAAGCACAGGGAGATCCTTCAGTTTGTTGCATGTGGGTAACTTTGAAGG